CGAAGCCGAGCTACGGTGAAGGCCACGGTGCCCAGCAGGCGGACCTTGGCTACCGTGACTCTCTGCTAGCTAAGTGTGCGAATGAAACCTTTTGGCACCGCGTGCGACAGCCTGCAATCCAATGGGGCCTTGAAACCACCTGCAATCCCAAGCCCTGGAAGCACCTGCCTCACCCTCAAAGGAGATCGGAGCATTCAGCTGCACCTCGACGGCACCTTGCTCAAGGAGTGCAGGGTCTGGTACGGGGTGGGCATCAGAGCAGGTCATTTTGTTTTCATGCGACCCAAGAAGCTGCACGATGGAGTCACACAAGCCCCTTCTCACGACAGGTGCCTTCAATTTCCGTCGTGATTTTCTCCCTTGTTCCCCATTCCAGTCTCAAGTCGCAAGCACTTCAGGCCGCAAGGCGAGCCACGAGGTGGAGCGTTGAACGACTTGTGAATAAACGGCCGTCCAAAAAAGCCATGCTGGAAAGAACTTGGCTGGGTGCCTACAAGTAGTGTTTTCCGCAGACGGATCTTTTTGGAACATGCTCTCCTGAAACAACAAAGCCCATGTTAACTAGCCCCAGTCAGTGGTCTGAACCAATATCCTGGCTTTGGACAGCCGAAGCCTCCCTTCTCTGAAACCACTTCTGGAGGAGCAGGGGGGAGGCGCCGCTGCAAAAGCTACAACTCGTGCACAATCCCTCTTGTGAGGCGGCCCGCAGAAGTTGCGACAGGACCAGAGCGTCAGAGTCCCGTGCCTTCTGTGCTGATCTTGCAGTCGCCTGGGAAGAACATCTCGCTCGTGACCTTCATTCAGGACAGCAAGGAAACCCTGCTCTTCCGATCTCACCAAGCAAACGCAAGGTCGACACCCACACGCTCTGAAGCCCTGAAGAGGCCCAGGTTCTTCGAAGGCGCACCTCGTAACGGCCCGAGAGGGTCAGCACACCCTTTGTTTCTGAGCAGTTCGGCAGCTTCCGCGCTCTCTCCTGAGCGCAGGGATGGAAACTCCAGACACCCCTTGACCGCGAAGGCTCATGGATTCGACGCCCCGACGCCTCTTCACCAAAAAAGTGGCCTTAACTTGTTGAACAGAACTATTCTAGCCCTTAAGGCCTCTGTATACCATGCGCGACGAAACCTGAAAGGGAGCGCGGTCTCGTCATCCAAGGCACGTCAACGACTTGCTGAAGGCTCTCCCTGGACCTTCAGAGCGTGCTCTTTTATCTGCTGACACATTCTGCTCGTACGGTGACGATGACGCAATCTCTATCATCATCATGACTCCCAGCTACCAGTAAAGTGTCGGGGGCTTGTGCTTCATGACTGCTGACGTTGATGCGTGCATACGTCTGCTCTATGGCTTTCAGGGTTCTATCTCGGGCCTGAAGCACAGGAAATGAGACCTTGTGCAAAGCTGCCGGAAGCGCATGCCGACTCCGCAACCAAATCTCTAAATCCCTGATTCAAGAACAAGGAAAGGAACAAGACTCCGAGAGGACTCCGGGCCTCGCCGCGTCTCCTTGCAGATTGAAGGCGGCTTCCTGACTGAGGAAGCTCGGTGGATACTCCCTGCCTGTCCCAGCGCTCGAGGGGCAAGGAGAGCTTGGGGATTCGAGGGTTGTCAGAACTCTTCCATCAGACTCCTGGGGCGTACAGGGTTCAGAGCTTTACAAGCCTGGAAAACCAAAAAAACTTCCGGCAGGCTAAGCATCTGCCATCTATCCAAGTGACCTAGACTTTCTTACAGCCAGTCTTTTGAGTTATCACGGCTACAGAAAAAATGCTCCGTCTCCTGGTGACTTGTATCCCCAAACAGGTTCGCACGGCCCGGTCTATTCGGCTTCCGGCGATACCCAAAGCATTCAGCTGATAAGAACTCGAAACGTACACTCGCAGAAGGCCACGATGAGCTGCAAGGAAAAAAGCATCAACAGCTGAGGAAGTCCAATTTTGCCAGCGTGGATCTCAAACGTGAAAGTGATAGAGCGTCACGATCAAGACAGCCACGACCACCTCGAAACCACTAGGAGACGACGACTGGGAGATCACCAAGAAAGGACCAGCAGGGGACCCCAGGAGACACCCTCTCTGATCACGACGAGACCGCAGAGCAGATGACGGGGAAGCCAGACCGCCCGGAGACCAACCACCAGGACAGCGCTTATGCGCTTGAGCACATAACATGCTTCGTGCCACAGTGAGAACCGCATTCCGCGGAATAGTTGTGTGCGCGCAGCGCGCGAACACTGACCGATTCTCCTTACAGTTCACTGGACCTGGACGATAGAGCCCATTACTGTGCACCACTCTGCTGAGGGAACTGTACATAATGTACATCGTAGCATGTGTATAAGCGCACACACAGCAAACAACGGGTTCTAAATCGAACTTTGTGATGACAGGACTTTGTGGGTGCTTTGCAGGGCACAGCGAAAATCTGTCCGGGGTGCGTGCAAGAGGCCGCTCGCGTATGTGCACGGCTGCACCACGGGGAAGAGCTGCGTCCCTGCCTACGTCTTCCAAGAGATCATCGGCGAGCAGCGCGTCATAGTCCTCTGGACCTTCGATTTAGGAGTCGGCATTCACAAAAAATGAGACCCTAGACGTGTCAACAACAAAGTTGCGACTGCACCGAACCAAAGACGGGTCTGCTTTGAGTGCTGACCGGCTCCTGATCTGGAAGGACCGACTTCCCAACGTTTTACATGACTCATCCCAAACAACTATGTACAAATGTTTTTTAGCAATAGCAATGGTAACTATTGCAAAACCATATTACTACTGCAGCAACAATACTCATGGTGTAAGTGTGAAGAACACTGATGGCCCCAAACCCAACAGACTCACGAGCCCGACACGCCTGAGCTCAAGGATCCCGTGCTGAAGCCCATTACGGACTGGGACCCGAGCGCTTGGCGAAGAAAAGAGGCAGCACCAAGGCTGCCAGGGTCGCCGCCTTCATAGCCTGTTTTGAATACGGGTTCCATGAGGATTCTGGACAGGTTCTATGCGGGTTCTACGTGAGGTTCTAGAAGAGTTGTAAAGGTTTCTGGAAGGCTTTTGGAATGATTCCGAAACTCTACAACACTGTAAGGCTTTTACTGTTGAGGGTTGGCTTAAGGTTCCGGGGCTGGCGTTCGGGCTCGCAGAGGCTCGAAAACCCCTGCAATCCGGATAGACACGCCCAGCCTCCCACCTAGGTGCGGCCCATGAAGCCCAGTCTGCGCAGGCATGGGGCCATCTGAGATATGGACAATACTGGAATTTCCAGAGCGACGTGTGTGTGCTGAGAGACTGAGCCAAGAGAGGCCACGGCGGGTGCAACTAGTGATGAGTTCTTGGTCCTTTTCAAAGGGGAAAAGGAGGGACCCTTAATGGGGACCCCTACACCATAATGGGGCTATATAATGGGTATATAATAGCTTATATTACGGGTATATACCTAGGAGTCCTTATTAAGGGTCCGTCCTTTTACCCTTGGATCTTTGACACGCATCTGATTGGGGATGGCGGCCTTTGTAGTTCCCTGGACTCTGCACCGGCAAAGTGGCAGTGTCACAGAAGCCTCAGCCGCTGGTGTCCGGAACAATAAATAACCATTCTGAAAGAGGTCTTGGGGAACCATGAACTGCGACTTGAAGCCAGAAAGTGACCAAACCAGCAATTCACGCAGTGTTTTTCGTTTCTGCAGACTCGCTGGGGCACCTGGCGTTCATGCCGGCGGTTTCTTGAGACTCCTCCTAGGATATGCTTTGGCCTCCGCCCCTCTTTGAAGATTGCTCTCATGTGGCAAGGTACCTGAAGTGTCCTACTCTGCCGCACCTTGGAGAGGGCCTAACAAGCCAAAGCATTTTTGTGGCTGGCGGAAGCGCCGAACTTTTGCAAAGCGAGACTACATGCAAAGACCTCATGGGGCTGTCGACGATGCGAGGTGACCCTGAACCCAGGGACCCTCGCCTCCGACACGCTTCAGGGTCTGAGGCATCGCTTTCGCCACGCTGGGGCTGGATGCAAGCAAAGGGCACACGATTCATTTCGGTCAGAGGCAGCTAGAAGCAAAGCCAGGCCCGGAATCAAATGCCATGTTCCTTCCCTCCCCACGACTGCAGTACGAGCAGAACTGATCTTTTGCTTCACACCCGACATGGAACCAGACAAGGAGTGGCAAAGCTCCGGCAGCTTCCCCTAGAGCAGGACCAGCCCTACGCTTCGCGGCTCGATCTTGGGGCACTTCCAGTTGTAGAGGTAATACTGCCTTGGCACGAGCCAGGGCCGGGAAAGCTTCGAGGGCCCTGAGATTTGCCTTTGGTTAGTAGGGAATGGAGGCATGGGGTACAATAATAACTACTATTACTACCATTCTTCCATTCCCTACTAACCAAAGGTAAGGAGATTCTGAATGCCAGAGCCCTGTGTCGGCAAAGAGCCCTCAAGGCAAACCTCACGCCCGTCCACGCAAGGCCTCACCAAAGTCTTCCCCCACAGGATACAACTCGATGTGAAACAGGATCCGGTAGGTCAAGACCTCAGCCTACCTAGAAACTGCAGTTGCCAGGCTGCAGGTACCCGTCGCCGATGCCAAACTTCAAGTCCTGTGGCTGTACTGAAGAGGGGAGCTGGAGGGAGAGACGTGGAGAGAATCAGGTCTGCACTTTCATTCAGGTCGGATCTTCAAGCATCATGTCATGTCACAGGCGGAATGCCCTTTTGGCCACGAAACAATGGAATTTCGATTCTGCCCTGAGCGGCAATCTCTTCCAGTCCTTCTCTGCTGATTGGCAGAAGACATCCATGGACATGCCCCACATTTCATGCTGAACCCCGAGCCTTCTGCATGCGCGCAAAACCTGATACCCCAGTAGGCGACGCTTCGGACACTCAAAAACCAGGGCCCGCAGCCGCCTTTTCTAGCCCTGCCAAACGCTGCGCGGTCTTGGTAAGATGCTCTTGATTTCAAGCACTGGCTTCTGCCGGCCAGTAGCCGAAGCCCTCGTGACCGCAGCTCGCAGCTCAGAAGTGCAGTGGCCCGTGACTATCAGAGCCCCAGCTGTCTTCGACCTGAAATGTCACCGACCAGCAGTCCTTCAAGAAAGACTCGTTGTCCATAATGTCCAGGGCATTGAAGACATCAAACCCCTGGGCCACTGAACTTCGAAGGGAGATTGTCATGCTTCAGAGAAAAGCTACCTTTGCAAGGCTTCGGAACGACACAACTAGGTAAACTCTGTGCTTGGCGATGGCTCTTCTGGGAATCTTTTCTCCACTGGGGCCAGCGCCTGCTGTTTTGCTACGCTGAGAGCATCCAGCATCAAATCCTGGCGTCGGTGATCGCATTCCGGCTCGGGCACACACCCCGCAGAAGTGGTAGCTTACAGGCTGTGTAAAGCTGTGCTAGTTAAGGCCTTCTGAGATTCGACGACCAGAAACCGTAGCGATTGCTATATCCTGCTATGCTGCAGCCTAAACTTGAACTCCAAGGTGTCCTGCAGCGGCACCGTGGTGGCCACGTTCCAATATGAGTAGGCTGCTCTGAGCATGTTGTGCTTCGGGTTGCCTCAGGCATCGTGTCTTCCCAGCCCCTTTACAAGCACTACCTTTTCTGCATGAAGGCATGAAGTTGTCATGACCCTGACAGTCTGATCCTCAGACCTCAGGACCTCAGCCCGTAGCCTAGGATCGAAGATGGCAGGCTATAGAACGAAAAGACGTCGGTGACCTCGCCCTTCTCATTCTCACCTTGCACTGCCACAACATGAGCTTTCACGGAGCCAACTTGCCAGCACATGTTCCCAAGGAGACAAGCTGCCAGCACAAAGCCTCCAAGAGACCCTCCCCTGAGGCTCCGAATCCGAAACCCATGCCTCGAACAGTCGTCGAAGCCTGTTTCCGAGATCCTGGCGCACCCAACAGGACACCACGCCTTCCTTCGGCAGCATCCAGTGCTCCACCTGCACTTGCGACATGCTGTGCTCGGAAATGACGCAGTTTCCTTTTAAAGCCGAGTCTGTCAAGTTCGGCGAGCTACGTTGCACAGGTTTGGCGAGCACCTGCGCAAACGAAAATGCTTTCCGGTTTCTATGGCCTCCTACGACTCCTTAGGACATTGACAAGAGGACGTGACGGGCCCATGGCCTAAGTCAAGTAGAAGAGGCGCCTCAAGTCAGGTGCTGCCAAGCTGATGACCTCCTGACACCCTACGGAAGAGGAGTGATTCGACAGGAGTGTGAACACTTGCCTTCGACGGCATCGAAAAGCAAACAACGGTGGTCGAGCACCAACGTGTCGTGAAAGTCCTCGACCCGGAAACCAAATTTCCAATTCAAGGCCTGCAACCTCCATGTCGCCTAAACGCGAAATTCAAGCACCCCATCGTGTTACCAGCCTCATCCGGAGTGAACTCTGGATGCAACGAGAACTTCCTTACGAGCAGCCAGCTCACTTTCCCCGTCGGTGCAACCTTTTTTAGTGAGGGCTCGGAGTCTCAGCAGCTACTGCTAAGCACATGAGGAGGATAGATGAGTCTCAGTTTGAACCCCGGACGTCCGGCGCAGCAACTACCCCGCTTAGCTTAGTTGAGATGCTTCTGGAACCTCTGGCAAAAAAATGTGCCGATGATGCAGCAACCCGAGCAGGTCTTGCCGATGCAGCTGCCCACCATGCAACGCCGCCTTCCCTATATCCTTCACGAAGCCTGTGAATGATGCCACACAGCTCTGCGCAAGCCACAGTATAAGTCGAGCATCATGGAAAGCTACCCGGCAATGCCAGGCAAGAAGGCAATGGCACAGCTACGCTCTCTCCACTTTGTTCGGGAAAGGCATAGCTGAAAAGCCGATGCAAATGCGTTTCTACAACAAGCCTGGTCCTTCCGCCTCCGAAAAGAAACGTTTACCCGTAATCCTTGGAGCAGGGATCTGCAGATAGTTCGTGACGAGGCCGTGGACTCGTGGAACATCCTTGCAACACAACCAGGCAGGTTTTGACACATGCCGACGACCGCAAATGAAGACCGGCAGTGAAGGAAGAAGAAGAAGAAATTTGTGATCTCAAGCTCTGATCTGTGTGTGTCCCCAAAAGAACCGACGCTCCTCCTTACGCATCTCCCGCATGCCCGCCAGCTGCGGTGTGTCTGGCACCTTTCGGGTTTCGATTCGGATATGCCTCACCCAATACTCTCCCTCCAGGAGAGAAAGAAATATCACTTCACGGAACGCACCTAGGGTTCGTCTTTGGGCTCCTTTGGCTGAAACCCCAGGCCTTGCCAGTGTGGCTTTGCAGCGAAGGGCCCGACGTTTAAGGAACAGCAGAGGCAACCCTCGGGCTTGAAAGTAATGGGTTAGGGTTTAAGTTTAGGGGTTAGGGTTTTTTTGAGCTCCTTTTCATGTCTGCTCGACTAGTTGAGCTAGGCTCTAGGGTGGAAGGATGGGTTTGACAAGTATTGCTATGCGTGTCGTGCCTTGCAGATGTTACAACAAGTCAAGTTGCAGCATCCGTTTCGGTATAACGATCACATGTGGTCAGGAACACAGTAACGATGAATATAGGCATGTCGCCCGGGCGATACTTATCATATTCACTGTAAGGCCTCGATACAAGTAGAACAGTGGAACTGATCTGCCAGAGAATTTCTACGTTTATGTTTTTGCCTCTTGCATTCCTGAGCGGATGTCTAAGCAGGTAACTGGGGTTTTGCAGTATTCGTTTGGTAGTATGTAAGAGGAACCCAAATGGAATTCGATGAAGTATTGCGGGGCTTGTCGTGGAAGCCCACGCGATAAATCCAATGGCAACATGTCTTGTCACTATGGCACACGAGCTACAGCAATGGCCGGGCCACAGAAGACTCTGATCCTCTGGCAACATGTCTGCCGATTCTGCTTGCTGTAAGATCTTGTAAGTTTGGGCAGGCAGAAAATTCTTTAGGCCGATTTAGGCCTGCTAAACTTGTCAATTCCCAGCCAAACATCGCAGGTCCTTTACCTTGGAATGCAGAGACGGACTCACAAACAAAACCTAAAACAGAGTCGTAAAAGCATCGAATAAGCCGATCCCGTCCGTCGAAAAAGAATCGAGGATAGCAAAGCCTAAATCCTAGCAGAACGCAGAAAACCTATACAGCTAAAGCCCAAAGCGCGAACACCGAGCCTTGTATAGCTTGATTGTCCTGGCCATCGTCATGCGCTGGCCCAAGTGGGAAAACCCCACTTCGATGAGCTTCTTCGGGTTCAGGGAACGGTGCCAGTAGCCTCGGAGACATACCCCTCACACGACGCTTAAACCTCAAACTTGAAGTCCCTTGGAGCCTGAAGCCCTAGGCTCCGGAGCCTGAATTCTGATTGAAGGCCTCAGTGTCTGGGCTTCGGCTTCTGGGCGTTATCAAGCTCTGAATGCCTCGGGCTCGCTTGCTCTATCTTGCTCTTATGGGATAGCGGATGGCAATTCAGTGGCGGTGGTGGTGATAATGGTGCCATGATCATGACAATGATGATGGTCGTGGTGGTGATCATGATGGTGATCATGATGATGATGGTGATGACGATGGTGAAGGCTTGTACTGAGCTTACTAACACCTCCTTTTTGGGTTTAGAGTGCAGGGTTCAGGTTCAGAGCTTTGGCTTTGGGGCTTGACTCTCAAGACTTGGTGAACCGCTCGCAACAACCATTCTCAGACGGAAATACGGGTTTGGGGTTTAGGGTTAAGGCTTGAGGCTTTTGGCTTTCGGGTTGAGGGCCTGTGGTGTGTTCTTTACACTTCATCACACAAGTAAACAGATGCGACGGCTTTCACTGCAATCGGGATGCGGCACTGGCTGACCGGCCGGGGAAGCACCACTCCCGCCGTGTAGACTGCCTGCCAGACATTCTCCCGGTTCACCCGGCGCGTGATCTCCTTTCAAGCACAGATGTCAGACGTCGTGGTTTGGAGGCCCAAAGGTAAGAGCAGGCTCGGTAAGTCTTGCTGATTTTGAAAGCCCGGCATTGAGGGATTTGGCGTTTAGGAGTCATGCTTTAAGTTTGGGAGGCTGGTCCTTGATGAGGACTGGGGCCAAGCGCTTCGATCGCAGCTTCTTATGCACGCAGAGAAAATTGATCTCCACCATCTGGATAGACTTGTCATATACCTGCACAAGATCTGTGCTGTGAGTTCAAGGCCATGGTAGCGATGCTGGGACTGGTAGCCGCAATGCTCGTGGTAGCAGCAGCAGCACCAGTGGCAGCAGCGGCAGCAGGAGCAGCACCAGTAGCAGCAGCAGTAGCAGTAGCAGCAGGGGAAGCAGCAGCAGCAGTCGTCAGAAGCTGTGAGTAGCAGTCAGCAGCAATCGGCAGCCGTCAGTAGAAGCCAGTAGCAGTCAGTAGGTCAGTAGCAGTCAGTAGCGTCAACAGCGGTGGTGGTAGCAGTAGTCGTCGTCGTAGTAGTAGTAGTAGTAGTAGTTGTTGTTGTTGTAGTAGCAGAAGTGGTAGTAGTAGTAGTAGTAGTAGCAGTAGCAGTAGCAGTAGCAGTAGCAGTAGCAGCAGTCGTCGTCGTGGTGGTAGTGGTAGTGGTAGTGGTAGTGGTAGCGGTAGCAGTAGCGGTAGAGGTAGCGGCAGTGGCAGTGGCAGTGATAGTGTCATCGTCGTCGTCGTGGTGGTAGTAGTAGAAGTAGTAGTATTGGTAGTAGTAGTCGTGGCGAGTGGTAGTAGTGTGTTGTTGTTGTGGCGGTAGTTGCGGTGGTTTTTGTCACCCACCTAGCACGGCAATGCCAGCTCCGCGGGGCTCTTAGGAGCAACGACGACTGGATATGCATTCAATGAATTATGACAGCCCCGGAAAGGAGTGCCAACCCAAGTGAGGCAAACAGCGAAAACAGCAAGGTAAAGCCACGCAGTACAACGGTTGGCACTCCGCCGGAAAGTTACGCCCTTAGCCAGCTTACACCAACTTTCGGGGAAACACACCAAACAAAAAGGTAAGGCCACAAAGTGCAATTGGTGTAGTTTCGGGCAGGCTTTCACAGTAATGTACAGACAACTCAGGCTCAGCCTTAAGAGAACACATGCAAGCAGTGACAATACACAAGTTGAGCAGTCCAGCATGCATCCGTAGGTGCTTCACAACATGTATTACAAATTATTGAGAGGTGAAAAAACCCAGGCATCAGAAAAAGTCCTCACATCTCTCACGCCGGGTTCTGTGGTGCCTCCACTACCACCGAGAGGTGGGGCAAAGGCCATCACAACACCCAGCTCTCCTCCCAGGCAGCTCTCCTCCCAGGCAGCTCACTCCAGGTTCTCCGGCTGTTCTATGTCATCTTCAGCAGCTTTTGCACGATGGCTTCGTTGTCAAGACCAGTCAAGTGAACAACATCCTTGCACAGGAAGCAGCAGAGCAATACCTCGGCGCAGTGACCATAGCTTTCAGCGACATGGCGCTGTCATCAGCAAATTCGGATAGGTTCGGATAACATTCATCGCTCGACGCATTGTAGTGGGGGCATCTCCCAACTCACCAGCTCGAACACGAGGCATGCTTTGGTAACTGTCTGCAGCTGAAAACATCAGCAAGGAGTTTGCAGACGAGATCCAACCCCCAAATGGCAAATGAGACTGGCGCGTTGATGCCAAGCCAAGTCAAGCATGCAGTCGCATACACCCGGGTGTCAGCGGTAGCCAAGCAATGCGTGGAGTAGATCAGCAGCAGGGAGCCCTCCAGGGCATATACCAGAGCTGGTTCTCCGTTGCGCCAACTCTTCCCCTGCAGTCACATGTCTCTCCGGTGAGTACAAGTAGACTCCAACAGCAGGCATAGTAGGTCGGATACATGGATGCTTCCATAAGCAAAAGCCATCCAGCTGCCGCGTAGATTGTTGCAGAGCAGTTTTGCAGGAGTTGGCAGGGCGCAGCTGGTCCCAGGCAAGTCTCAGTAAGGAGTGGGGTGTCAGAGGCGCGGGCGATCCCCATGGCGGCGTGCAGAGTACTGCACAGTATCAGCGAAGCTATCGAAGCCGACCGAAACCCCAACCCCGACAGAGTCAAGACAAGGACCAAAAGAGAAGGAGAGGCAGAAGGGTGAGAGGCGCAGGGCAGCACAAGGCAAGGAAAGGCAGGCAGGAGAAAAGGGGGGCAGTGCAGCAAGGGAAAGGCAGAGCCAAAGAGATCAAAAGCTGGCAGGGCAAAGAAGCAGTGCAAGAAGTAGGCAAGCGAGGTTTGCTTCACAGGCGTGTTTTACACACGGCAGGTGACTCTCCCTCACGTTTGGTGCTCATGTTCTTCAGGATCAGAGCTCCACGGACAACACATCATCCGACGACGACGAGTCTTGCACAGTGTCATCAGCAAATCCATCATCATCATCAGAAAGTTGGTTGTACACGAAGGGCTTTGTGGGGTCGGGATCAGAGCAACAGCTTTTGGCTTTTTTGGGTCTTGGTGAAGGAATAGGGGAGTCATCAACCTCGATAACGGAAGGGGCCCCAAGGCGTAAGGATTCCCAAATGGTGAGTTGCTTGGAGGTCGGGTATCCAAAGAGGCTCGGTTTCATTTGGGCATGGACCTGTTCAGGAGTAGGGGCTCGGAATCCTCTGTCCTCCAAGTACTCTCTAACATGTTGGGAGAGGGTACCAGAGTATGCACTACAGAATGCGATCAGAATGACACGTCGGGAGAAGGGTGGGACAGCGAGGCCTGCATGTAGTTGTTTCCTTGTATCGATAAGTAGGGGCTTCGGGGCAATGGGGAGAACCGATCCTGCCAGCAGGTGCCCCTCATGAGGCAAGAAAGTATCCCCGCAACGATCCGAAACCCAAAGTCCTTCCCCGGGTTTTTGTGGTGTAAGAGCAATGATCAAGGCGGGGAAGGGGGCGTTTCGCAGGTCACGATGGGGCTCGTCTCGAATGCCTTCCTTAACAACAAAAGTATTAAAACAGAAGTCACAAGGAGCAACCGATCTAACGAACCTAGTAAAGAGATCACAGGTTTGGGGTGCAAGAACAGTATTAAGCAAGACCTGGGACGAGTGTCGGGGGCTGCTACCGCACATGAACCTACCTTCGCGTTTAATGATTAATGTCTTTCGGCATGGAGTCAAAAACTACCAGGAGATCACGTGGGGAGGTAGGGCGGAGTCGCAAAGCAGAGGACATGACATCTAGTTCCTGTACGCACAAGGTTCCCCTACTTCTCGGTCTCTGTTCAGATGGGCCCGAAGGTCTCACCGGCAGGCTGGGAGCAGGGGGAGAATCAGAATTGGATTCATCCAGCTCAAAAGTAGCCGGTCTCCTTAGTGGATAGTTCCACATGTTGGTGGGTCCGTTTCCTCGGGACCTGGACCTGGACAACAGAAACTGCAGTCCAAAACCGGAGAAGACCCCTAAAAGAACCCAATCTGAACTGAGGGCGGCTGCAGAAGGTCGAAGGTTGCTTCTACGTCACACGGGAGAGCTCACTCAGAAGTTAGCAGAGCACGTTGATTTTCAGTGCAAAGGCATCATCAGTGCAAAGAGTGACAGTGCAAGGACCAGGCAGTACCAGTACAAAACAATGGCACAGGGATATCAGTACAAAGGAAGAGTGAATTACATATGCAGGGCTCATATACGGCCCCCATTCAGAGGCAAAAGCAGAGTCCTTCAGAGGTCTCGGTCTGGGCGAGCCGTTCGCCTGTCCTCAGCGAAAGGTCCTAAGTCGTCTGTCTGGGACCTCAGTCGGAGCCACGGGAGCTGTATGCTCCGCGCTGGGTTCCGTCGCCGCATTACTTGCTGTCGGGGTGGTGTGTTGTGATTCGCGTTCCTGGATCATGTCGCGAAGGCTAACCAGACGTGCATCGACACGATCCATCCGAGACTGGAATCCCTCCAATCTGAGTTCCACATCCGACTTCCAGCCATCAAGTGCATGCAGTACTTCGCATGCCCATTTGAGAGGGCTTTGGATTTGGTCCTCCAAGGCTGTCTGGAGAGACAGGACGGCTTGCTTGGCTTCATCGAGGCTCTTCTCTGTGCGCACAAGGACTTGATCCAGTTGGCGGTTTTGTTTTCGAATGCTATCCGGGACCTTATCTCGCTGCCCTTTAAACTCGGCTTCGAAGGAAACCATGCGTTGACTCAGGGTTCCCAGGGCAGAGGTTATGTCGGCAGCATAAGGATGTGCATCGCCCTTGACATAGTCAGCAAAGAGCTCCGACAACGCTTCAAGACCCGTCTGTACCTTCTCGAGGCCTTCCGGGACAACCTTGAGCAGAGGCTCTGTATGACGGAGTACAACAGCGAGCATCCCTCGGATGGAAACAAAAGTTTCCTTGCACTCCTCCAGCTCCTTACCAAGGAGCCGAATGTATTGCCTGAGGTCCTTATGGTTATTTTCAAGGTCCTGGCGAAGTACTGCAGAGAAGATCCTTGGTGCTTCGGACGAGACAACGCCTGTGCTCAGGTACGAGTTACGTTCCTGAACCAGTACCATGTGCATGGTCTGGAAGTCACGACGGATCCTCCAGAACAAGAAAAGACCAATTGCAGTCAGCAGGGCCTGGCATATCAAGCTTCCCAAGACAATCACCTGGAGAAACCAGACATCCCAAATGTCAAATCGGCTGCCCACAAAAGGTTCCCAAAATGTTCGGAGCAGTACCGTCTCCATGTGCCCAGGACGTTCCCTCAGGCAGTCATTCCTAAAGGAACGTTATCAACACGACAGAAAGATGCACATGCAATGTATCTGTATGACAAAGGTGTTTCGAGCTTCCTGAGCAGGACTCGCATGCAATCTGTGGCTTGCAAGCGGTGCAATAAAGCTTCCTAGTCAGACATGTACATGGAACTGCAAATGCAAGCTTATCGGCTGCAGACAAACTGGAAGGGCCGTCGGTCTGTTTTGGAGCCCGGCAAGGTCGCAGTGCAGTGCAAGGAAAAGCACAAACACGCAGGCAGTTCAGTGCAAGGTTGCGAAGCATGTACAGCGAATTTGTGGCAAGGACGCCAGGATCAAAAGCAGAAGGCAGTGCAGAGGGCAGTAAACATGCAAAGGCCGCAAATTAAAGTGGTGCACGTGTATTACTGCCCGAGCAACAGGAGCCCAGTCATTGGAGATAAACCGAGCAAAGCATCGTGACCCCAAAACCAGAATTCAACAGAGAGACAAGAACTCCTAACTGGGCTCATTCAGCGCTGAGTCATCGACTGCTGTTGCTGGATTACCAGGAGCAACCTGGCTAAGTCTTCAGGAGTAACCCTAAGCCCGGACTCAGGTAGAAGTACAGGAGCTGGCATTGTCGGCGGCGGAGACGCTGGCGGAGGTGCCTTAAACCTCAAGGCACTCGTCAGGTTGAGAGGGCACGCCTCCGTCGTCGGGCAAGGTGGTGGATGTCCGGGTTGAGCTGGGCCAGCTGCCGTGGTAGTCGGCGCGTGCGAAGGTGCCGGCATGTGTGCCTGGGACCCCCTGGGGAGCAGACGCGAGAGCAAATCGTCCACGCCAGACTGCACAGCCTTCACCATGGCCTGCATTTCCTCCGACCATTCTCCCAACATTCTGGTGTTCTCAAGCGTGTCCCCACAAAGCTGGCCAAGTCCAGTTTGGTGCAAGTCTTGAAGATGCCAGATGCAATCCCTCGAAAAGCTTTCGAGATGGCTTTGGAGCCCCCTGACACGATTTCCACAGTCCTGGCTGAAGGCATCTACCGAGGACTGCAGGTTCTGAATATACGGCAGCATCATAAGGACACTGCGCACATCATGTATGCAGGAGTCCACCTTGTTGTGGAGGTCCGTGAGGTTCCTTGTGATGCTGTCGGCATCAGCTTTAGCTTCCACACGGCCATCCAATGAACTTTGATGGCCATCTTTGCAAAGCTGGTGGGTTTCTTTGAGGAGGTCCATTACCGTCTGCAGTTCGGCACGAGTGTTCGTGACAGCGAGGTCAAGAGCTTTCACATCTGCCACACTTGCTGGGGGTCTCTGGTTGAGGAGACCCGCAATGTCCTTCCGGAGCGCCTGGGACAAGGTCGTAGACGACTGACTGTACGTCGACTCGAACTTCTCCGTGATGTCCTGCAGCAAGCGGGTCCTGAACTTCTCAAGATCCCCATGGGTGAGGGGCTCGCTTGCGGGTTCAGTCTGCGCTTCACCCGCCATCGTAGAGATCATTGGCACGGGAGTGGGCCCCTGCATGCGCACTGGCCCAATCGTCGGCGAGGAGGGCGGGGGCGTAGCAGGTCCAACCACATCGTCCGGCCCATCCTTAGTGACGGCCCCAACCGGGTCCGATGAGGAAGCCGGTTGCATCTGGTTGTCAACCGTAAAGGGCTCCTTCATAGTCTGCGAGGCGGACCCTTTGACGGTTTTCCACAAGAGGTAACCACCCATCAAAAGGCAGATAGTCGTCACTCCTGCCGAGGCTGCCACCACCCAAGGAGTTACCTGCGAGAAGGAGCCATATAGGGCAGGATCCAAGGCTGCAGGCGGATGCTGAGGCGAGAGATTCGCCCGGGCCGCGATCTTCGGGAGGTCCTCCATGATCACGGGCGCTCAAGAAGATCTCTGCAAGGGCTCGAGAGGGAGTCGCTACAGCAGAAGGCTCAGTGCGGCGTGCTGTCAGCGGACTCTGCAGGTGCAATTAACGGACCGCCCTGCCCCCCCCCCCCCTCCCACTCCCGTCAACGCACAGAAGAATCCAAAACAAGACCGAAACAAAACTGAAGTAGGCGGTGCCCACCACGGGGGCTTTTTATGGTAAGTTTCAGTCGCCTTGAAGCAAGCAAACATGTACTCGTGACAATAAGTGATTGTGTGTTGTTGGGAGAAAGAGGCAGCAGGCAGTGGCAAGGAGAAAACAGTGCAGTGCAGCAAATTGCAAGCCCACAGTGTGGGGATTCAGTGAGGCAGCAAGATTGAGGGAGTAAGAATGTAGCTGAGTGCACATCATCAGGTCGATGCTCGCTGCTGTCGGGAGAGCGTATTGATCGCATGTCATGGGTAAATCCGGATCTCACCACCAGTCACAAAAAGCAGGCAGTGCGGAGTTCTGGGGTGGCACGAATGCCCTCGATGCATCCAAGGTGCGAACAAAGTAGTGACCAGCTGGGAACTCAAGTGCTTGTTTTGCTGTTCTGTCAGCAAGCTCATTTAAAGCGTGTCCTTTGTGAGCTCTCACATGCATGGCGCGCACTCTGCTCCTACATCTGTGCCAAAGCATGCAAAGTCCCGCCTGAAGAGAAACATGTGCGAACCCAACTGTTCCACCCTCAAGAACCTGGAGGACGTAAGCCGAGTCCGTCTGGAGAAGGACGGGAATGCCAGGAAACCTCTCAAGAATCCTAAGGGCCATTTCGAGCGCCTTGGTTGCTGCAATGAGTTCGGCTTTGATGTTAGTAGAGGGTCCTCCAGAAATCGGATAACCCGCAATGACAACATCTGAGGGCACTTCGCCGTATGGTGGTAACAAGGCCACACCTGCTCCCATGAGAACACCTTTACGGCTGCCATCGCAGGCAATACAGAAGTGGCCTATATCATCTTGGTCCTCGGCATCCAGGACATGTTCAAAAGACGAAGGGTAGGGTCTATCGATAGGCGCATGAGTTTGGGGAAGTAGCCAAAAGCGGTCACCTGTGCGCAACAAGCAGCGCCTGCACAAGTCGACCGAACGCAGGTCCGGATAGAATTGATCCCGAAGCAATCCCTTAATACGAAAGACCTCGTCAGCGAAAGCTTTCCAGCGGTCTCTGTATTGTGCTGCTTGTTCCCAGGAGTTGGGATCACCAGTAAGTCGGGATCGATACCACAGCCACTCAAGTGAGAGGACAGCGTTAGGCCACTTGCCCTTTTTGCGTTTGGCATGAGGGTGAGTTGCCAACCATGAAGCATTTCTCACCTGCATTAGATGACTGATAGGTCTTCTGAGGGCAGGATCTAACCTCGCCGCGTGGCCCCAGTAATTCATGAAGGACTCCAAATGAATGGCGTCCCATGGACGATTTCCACAGGACTGCGCTGCCATACGCGAAGCACGTCGGCGCGAGGCCCAATTCTCGCACGAAGTTTGCAAAGGGTCGGGGGGCAAACGCGTCATTGACATGAGAAAATGAGTTTGTAGAGTCCTCAGCTGTTGGGCTACGGCGTGCAAAGGCCGAACAGCGGCTGAAAGCCATCTCCAACGGCTCGTCACAAAGGAATCGAGCAGATGAAGTCGTTTGACCAAGGAGCCTCTCGACCTGGATAGAAAGGACAAGTAACCGAAAAACGAGTTCGTTGCCATTCGTAGTCTTGCCGAGAGGGTCATCTGGCACGTAATCGAGAACCCAACCAAAATGCCTAGGAACGTGAAAGAGTCGACAAGCTCGAGGGGTTTCTCAAAGCCCCTGGGACAGACCGGTTCGCTGCCGCAGAGATCAGGAGATTGGATATACTGGCATTTATTACGAGCCAAGGAAAGTCCGATCGCATCAAGAGTGGCCTGTATCTCATCGAGAAGTCTCTCGAGTTGACTCGCACACGTGGCTAACACGAGTAGGTCATCTGCGTAGAGAATGAGAAACAAAGGTCTCCCTGAGCTGTCCCTCAGCCAGGTGGACTCCTGAGATTCCCAGCTCAATACCAGAGGCCCCAGAAAGTGATCTAAACAACGTGCAAACAGTTCTGCCGAAAAAGCAGACCCCTGAAGGATCCCTCGCCGCAATTTCTGAACCCATGATTGGTTACAGAAACTCAATTTGACACTGGTTTGAACAATAAGGCTCAGGAGGAGCCTGCTCTCTTGATGCGGGCCAAGGGAGCCAAGGAACTTCGCCAAGGCACAGTGGTCAAGCGTATCAAACGCGGCTTGTACATCCAGTTTGCATGCCATTAGGGGCAAGCCCCATTGTCTAGATAGGTGGATCGCATGCTTCAGTGCGACTGAACCATCTAGAGACTGGGCACCAGGCTGCGAAGACAGCTGCCCTGTCAACATGACAGGAAAATGCTCTCTGAGGCGGAGAAGCAATGCTTTGGTCAGCAGCTTCGAAAGCGTGGCTGCCAGCACGATTGGGCGAAAATCTTTAGGAGCCCGAGGCTCTTTAATCTTCGGAAGCAACACAATCTGTGATTGAAGCCATTGTGCAGGGAAACCTCTATTGCAGAGCAAAACATCATTTAAGAACTCGAGAAGATGCTCAGAGGCCTCACTCTGGAGCACGGCGCACCAAAACTCATATGGTGCCCCATCTTCCCCGGCGCTCTTCCCGCTCTTAGTCTGGAGCAAGACTGTTTCAAGCTCCTCCTTAGACAGGAGAGCCGGTCCTGGCAGCCTGGGTCCAACCATGTTGTCATAGATATGGAGTGGGTCGTGCAGGGGACAAATGTCAGGGGGTGCATACTTGGTTTGATAGAACGCCTTGAGACCACCGACAGCGGGCCCTGCCCCCCCAACACGACAACAGTAGTCGTGCTGGCAATGGGATACATTCTGCTTGCGTCGGAAATAGCTGATGACCTGATAGTCCCCAGAGGCAGCTCTATCCAAGAGCTGAATGCGCCAGTTCTTCTTCGCCTCACCCCTTGCACGAACAATCTCTCTACCCAGTTGTCGTTTCTCAATCGGATCCGAAGATTGTTTGCGCTGGGAGATTAGGTCCTTGATTTCCGGCGGGTCCTTGAAGCGGAAGCTCCTAGGCCGATACGTGCTTTTGGCACATACTTTCAGGAAATCCTCCTCAGTCAAGTCTCTCCTGTCAAGGTCAGCGCGGCATGCAAGATCATTGCATTGGGGGACAGCCTTAGTGTAGTCAACAATCCACTTCCCGCATTTGGTCCTCTGTTGACGAGCTCGACGCCTTTCCCCCGATCTGACAACCGAGACACAGACACGACAGAGCTTGTGATCAGACTGGATAAGGTGGTCACTATCTTCGACAACCTCCTGTTCAAGCGTGTCCTGGTGAGGAGTGCGGTACAGAACATAATCAATGGAAGAATGGCTACCCCTCGTATTGGACCAGGTGTGCTGTCGAGGCGTTGTGTGAGCCAATCCCAAGTCCCTCACAAAAAGATTCAGCAAGGCACTGCGCTCATCCGAGTTCTCAGTACTGGAATGCATTAATTCATAATTAAGGTCGCAGCAGATGAAGATCCTGTCCTGATGACGGGCACCCTCAAGGAGCCGTCGCATAGACTGTATCTGGGAGTCCCAAATGCTGGCCGAATCATTCCTATTTGAATAGGGGAGATGCACTGTAAGCATGTACGTGGAAACCCCTCCTTCTCGGAGGTGTACACACATACCACAAGGTAGAACAGAAACGTGTTTCATGAAAGAAAGGAGTCCTGACGGAAAAGCAATTGCTTGACACATGTAACTGTCTGGCGGAGAGCCGACAACGAAAACAAACTCTTGCCCTTGGAGAAACAGAGACTTCTTGTCCCATTTCCCAACAGCGACGTCCTTGCAGCCTCCAAGTTCCTGAAGGCCAATTATGTCCATGCTCCCAAGCTGGAGCAGGTCCGCGGTATTCTGGAGGTCCTCCAAATGTTTTCCTCTCAGATTCCACGTGCATGCATGAAAAGGTACCGAAGCACCTGCAGTGGGAGCCTGCTGCATTTGTCAACCCTGAGCATCTGTTGAGCGGAGCAGGTGCAGTCCCTTGTCCCACCAAGTAGGCAGATCCTCAGGGGGGTACCCAGTGATCGTATGGAACCTCGAGGCCAAAACAACCCACCCAGAGTGGTCGCCTCTGTTGTCCGTCATGTAGACATCCGAGGGATGGGCATCGTTCGGCAACAGATGGGCCTCAGCAATGGCCTGAGTGGCCCCAACATAAAGACGACCCCTCCAGTCGATCTCAGGGGCCTCACGAGTTTTCCCGTTCGCAAGGGGGATCCTTTGATAAAACGTCTTAAGCTGAACAAGTCCCCTGACTTTGTTGCGTTCCTCAATCGAACGATTGCGGGTGATCCAGAGTGAATTGTTCTTAGACCCCGACACGCCCGAAAGAAATTGGGTCCCTTTCAATTTGTCAATGGTTTGGGTCTGGAAAGCCCTGCGCGCAGGCAGAGAAACAGTCTCAGGCGGGAAGAGTAGAGTGACTTTTGCAAAGTTCGTGCGGATGTAGGGAATGATGATTTCTGAAATTCTCCCTTCCAAACCACAGGTTCTGAAGATTTCACGAACTTCGCCTTCGACATCACCCTTGCGTCCTTCGGTCCAGCCACCCAAAACCAGCTGGAGGTCCTCATCAGGGTCCCTGATGCCACCTCGGGGGCTCCTTGGAGAGCGATCGCCTCTGTCGTCCCGAACTGGTGACAAACCTCTATGAGACGGGGTGGGGGAGCGGCTTCGTTCGCTTTCAAGGGCTTTCAGGGCTTTGACCTGTTTCTCGAGTTCACAAACACGCAATATCGTGGATTCATGCAGCTCCGTGTGTTCCCTAGTTACTCCCTCAATATGCTCCAAACGAATATGGTGCTGCGACATGTCCGAGCGCACACCAATCATTTCCGTGTGCATCTTGTCCACAAGATCCTTCGAGGTATCAGATTTACCGTGGAGTTCCTGCAAACTGGAATGGATCTGTTGCAAAGCTTCAAGCCAACTGGGGTTTTGCGACGAAACACGCGGGCCTCTGTTGTTCCTTACGGACGTGTATGGGTGGCTTCCCCGGGAGGGTTCCATTTCGGCATCAACAAGCTCATCCCGCTCCCTGTCGAGTTTAGGTTTCTTAACTTCAGGCTTCTCTCCCTCGGAGGAAGAGAGAGCAGCTTCTGCGGATGACCTGAAAGAGCTGGGAAGTCCTGCAATTTGTCCATCATTACGAATGTGTGTCAGAGGTCTAGATTTCCCCAACTGAACAGGAAGAGCAGATGACCCAACCAGTGATTGCCCCTCGAGAGCCTGTGTATGCCTTGCAAACTGCAAAGGAGCTCCAGAGTTCCCAGAGGGGCCTACAGGGGAGCTCAATCTATGAGGACAGTTCGTAATGCTAAAGGGAGGAGCAGGGGTTGGAGGTGACTCACGCTTATCATCCCTTGCAAGGTCAAAGGTAGGGACAGGCGCAAAGGAGGTGGGAACAGGGACATCAAAAGGGTCCTCGTCTCGAGTTACTTTTCCAATCCCTCCTCCAAGTGGGGACTCGTCACCCCCACCAAGCTCTGGCGTCCCTGGCCCCGGTACTGGAGGGACACTCGGATCAATAAGATCACCCCTTGATGCAAGCAGCCCCGAAATTTGCCTAGGCGATCCCGGCTCCGTCATGCTATCGTCCTGGTCCTCGTCTTTACCTGCTTCCTCGGTGAGGTCGTCAATCGTAGCTGCAGGTGCGGGACTGAGAGGTGCTCTATACCCCAAGGCTCCCGGGAGAAGAAGGGTTTCGGCCTGAGAAGTCATCTCTCCGCAGGGAAGTGCTGGGGTCAGGCAAGGAAAGGCAGTGCAAAGGGAAGTGCAGGAGGCAAGAACACCTTCAAAGGCGATAGGTTACAAAATACAGTGCAGGAGAGAAAACAGTACAGTCCGGCAAGGCAAGGCAGTGCAAACAGTCCCAAGGGAAGAGAAAAGATCAAGGGAGAGGAGGAGGAGAAGAGAGAAGAAGACGACGGGACCGAGAGGGACTCAGGACTCAGGACGCCACTCTGAAATTCACTTCGAGCCGAAACTTGAGCCGTAGCCAAGTTGTGGTGGTAGTTTTAGTGGTAGTAGCAGTGGTGGCAGTAGTTGTGGTCGTAGTCGTCGTGGTAGTGGTGGCGGTGGTGGTAGTGGTGTTCGTCGTCGCCGAGATAGGATTGAAAAGATATCAACGATCCAAGCTTGACCTTACCTCAGAAAAATATTCCTTCAGCTTGCTGGGGTGGGGGATCCCCTGCACCGCACCCCTTCCCTACCATACGCCCCGGTCCGGCCCGCATCTTCGCGGGAATGCCGGTGATGAAGCCAACAAGCCTGACATCTTTTACCAAAGTTCCGAGCACTAAGCGTGTGTAGGAGCTCCAAACGTTAACTGCATGTCCTTGCTGGCCATAACATGCCACAAAGGCTCAAAGCAAGCCTTTCCGGCAAGCAGCCCTGCAGTCGTGGAAACAAGCCCCTTAACCCCCGAAGCGATCCAAAACTTCGCGACCTCAAAGTCCCGGCGGGTCGTCCCAAGGCCCCCCCTCATACACGGAGGTATATTCTCCGATGATTATAACAAGGAACCCCCACAACCCTATTCCAATTATTAAGGCCAACCCTCAGCTTCACTCTCCCATCTTCAAGGTCGACTCCCCCATGCTTCCGCCAGGCCACTTGCCACCGCCCTTGACACGCACGCCGAGGTGCCAGTTCCTGGTCGAGCCAAAGATATATATATATATATATATGTATGTATATATGTATGTATGTATGCATGTATCCATACACACGTACATACAGCCAGATCGGCGAGTTTATACTGTCCTCAAAAATTCTGGAGGCTTCAGCGCCCAGCGCAGGAAGTGAATGGAGTAGTCGAAGCGGAACATGCTGTCCTCGGGCCCAGAATTTGCACGTGTAACACTAGGCCGCTTGTTCACGGCTAAACTGAGAAGCCTCTCACCAAGACAAAGTGCGTCATCTTCGACGTAATTCTCTGTCAGGAGGGTGTAGACTTCCTGCATCTCGGCATCATCATCCACATTGCCTGTGGCGTCTGCAAGGCAGGGGTTGCGAATGAGGATACTGTGACTTTTCTTAGCGCTTCTTTCGAGCGCCCAAATTTCCAGAGCCGGAACTCGAAACCGCACCCGTGCCAACTTTTCCAGAGCCCAGCAGCAGGTACACCATTCAAATTGCCCAGGCAATGGATAGGGCTCCTCGGCTGGCATGCGTACTGCCACTATCACATACTCTGCGCTCTGGCCGCTGGCCTCGATCTGGCCCACATATGACAACTGCATGTGAATGAAACGGTGCACGGTACCAATTCTGGCAAGTCATTAGAACCTTTACTCGGGTGAATCGTTGTATTGCCGGAAATCTGCAGGAAGTTCATGTTTTCAGCGGACAACTAAGGAAAACCTAAGAAAGCTTCAGAAAACTATAGAAAGCTAGAAAATTTCATGAAAAGCTATGATAAACTAACTAGTTCCGTGGATTGGGTCTGTTTCTCAAGGCCGCGCGCAAGCTCGGTGTTTCCATGACAATTACAACCGGACTGCCTTTTTCAGCGTGTGCGACAAGAAAACACCTAGAAAAAGCTGGAAAAAGGCTAGATAAACCGAGTAAGAGCTAGGTTTTCGAGACGGTTTCTGCAGACTATAAGTTCTCAGTCATGGAACTATTTAGTTCCTGTACTCGTGCCTCACAGACAAAGAAGTACCTCATCAAAGGTGTACCTTATACGGTCTGAAGAACAAACGTGCTAACACCGAGAACTGTCAACGAAGCCATTGTGATCATGAGCATTGATGAACAGCATGGCCATACGAAGCATTCATCTTGATCACAGAACTTCATTCCTGTGACTCGAGTAGCGAAAGACGCCGCATGCGTTTCCCTGCAGCATTCTTTCAACATTGCAGCTTCTAGGCTTACCCATGAGGTTCCGTGGCAGGCCCGAACCCCAACGCTTGGCTTAGATTGTATAGGTTGAAGCATTTTCTGGCCAATCAATTAGAGTGCAGGAGCCGGGCGTACGTCGTCGACAGTCTTCAGCTCGTCCAGTGGTCCGGCATCTTGATCATACCTGCACAAGGCTGTCGGATGTCAGCTGTACTTCATGCAACTCGCAAGTTTGAACCCATACAAGCCAAAATTTTGATGCAATGACATAACTTGCCGACCCGGGTTCACTGGTCAGTGGCCGAAGCCTGGTGAGACAGCTAGCCCACTGAAGATTAAAAGCTCCATGCAACGACTTAGCCTAAGTCCTAAGCACAGACACAGGAACCCAAGAGCCGGCTTCTACGCAGAAGGCCGAAACGGGAGAAGCCAAAGCTGGGGGCACTCGGAGCTCATGGAGGGAACCGGCTGGGTGTCCCAGAAGGGATGCTCTCGTGCCGTGTGTCGCCGGGACTCCTCATGAGGCAGCTTTGGGCTTGGGCAGCTGCAGCTTGTTTCAAGCAGTGAGTGTAGCGTAGTGTCTCAGGTCGGGATGGTTCCGGGGTACTGGGGGAGGTGCCTCCAGGTCTGATGACTTCGGGGCCCGTTGGCCTCGACGGTTCCTTTTGTTGCAGGCGCATGCCGGGGTGGCTCTTTCGTTTTTTTGGTTGCAACACAGCTGCGCTACCCGAAACTCCCTGGCTCATGTAGTCATCATCACACGGGTGACTTTACCAACTTCTATGCGGCAGACGAACAGCCAGGAGGAGCGGACGCCCGCTTTGCAAGTTCTCATGTGAGGCCAGCGCGAGCCTTACACACTGCCCCAAAACAAGTCAATCCAAAGTCGGCGCCGTAGTAACACTAGCATTGGTCGGATACCAGTACTGATGCCATTACTCATGCTGATACTGATGCGAATACTCATACTAAGAGTGAGAAGAATGCTATTCTAAACAGCAACAAATGCTAAGAAAATAACAATCACCGTGTTAGCCCTCATAACAGCAAGGGTAACAAAAACACATTGATAACAAGAACGATGCTAGTACTACTCATAACCCGTAGATCTACTGAGAATACTAGTTAGAAGTTATCGCAGATGGTCCAAGCGCTAAAGGTCAGCTAAGGACTCCTGAACTCCAAGCGCAAAAGCACCGAATCCACACAAAACCCCGGCCTCGCAGGGGCCCCGCTTCCGGAGCATCTGCAAAAGCTGTGTCTGGGAGTCGGTCTGGGTCTCACCCTCCTTCTTCGATATCATATAACAGGTGTAGACATCCACATGTGTAAAACACCATAGACATGCCATGACGATGAGTAGGTTCGTGGGTGGTGACGATAAGGAGAATCACGACCAGATAATGATGATGAGGATGCTGCGAATAAACTTAATTGGATGCTCTGTGGTTCCATGAGCTTAACTGATTCCGTTCTCTGCTAGACAAACACCGGAACACACGTGCACCTTTCTTGTTCTGCATGTGCACACAAGGTGAAGGGAAAACGATAAGGAAAGCCATTGATGCTTCTCCGGCCCTCCTCGCCGTCGTTGGCGTCAGCTGCTGGGTATCCATCCTTCTTTCCCGCCTTTTTCCTTGGATTGGGGCCAAGAGCTTCGGAATTTAAGGCTGGGGGTTGGAGTTCAGGTTCTCGCACATTGCGGTGCCTTGAGGTTACTGGGCTCGATAAAGGACGCCCCTCCAGCTGCAACACACCCTGGTGTCTCGCAGACATCTCCGACCGGGGCATGGTGCCCTCTCCTGCCTCGACATACTTTGAATATCTTTGAATGCGGGACATCTGCTCAAAGACCTGCAGACAAGAAGAGGCCTCAACACTTTAGAACCAGAGAAGGAGGGAGCTCACAAGATACTGCAAGGAAACTGGCCAAGCATCGTCGTCTTCTCATCCTTTGCCTGCGACTGTGAACAGCAGCATCCCGACTTTCAATCCCGGCCCTGCGACGTCTTGAAACCTACCACACTGCAGAGCGTGTTCGAACTCCGGGTCCCCACTACTTCGCTTGCACAAACGTCTTCAAGCCTCCTGCAGAATGCTTGAATTTGAAAGCTAAAACAGATCCACTCCAGCTCCTTGGTCTGTTTTCTGCCTGCAGGCCCTGACACCAGGAGCCTTGTCAGAATTCCTGCAAAGACGTTGCACCGCTACTAACGCTACCTATACACTTCTCAAACTGATGCATCAGACGACACTTCATGAAAAGCCTCATCCCCCTCGAGCTTGCGAGCACCTCAAATCTAACGTTCGTAACTCCCAGCCCTGAAATTCCCGTTGCTGAGCAAGGCCTCCTGGTCCACTTCCTCCTCTTCCTCTTCCTCCTCAGCCTCCAGCTCCTGTTTACACTCCATGCGCCCTGGGGCGATGGTAGGATGTAGGCTGGAATACTCCCGTGGGACGGCAGAGGAATCCGAAGTTCAATTCTACCGGCTTTTAAGGTCGAGCCTCGGTCTGCCACACGCGGACAAGAGATACGCATGAAAGAAGCATTCCCATTTACACCCGCAGACACGCATACATACATACATAATGCTTACATACATACATGCAGGATCCTTCCGCATGCAAACAGACAGGCAGGCGATAGGCAGGCAGGCAGGCAGACCGACAACTAGAATAACAGACAAACGGATAAGGAGACAAACCTGTCACCCCACGTTACACTACATTGCAATACCTGTAAGTTGCACTATCCTTGTATGCTGCCTCACAGGTACCGACGGATGACCATGAGTAAGCATGCTCTCAGTCAGTTCGGTTTGTTGCTTGCCGACCAGATTCTCGCTGCTACTACTTGCTCTGGTTCCAGACTTCCATAATGTCAGTAGCAGATGTCCCCCATGATTTCCCCACTCCTTGGTCTCACGCTTGTCGCTCGCGGTCATAGCTTCTAAATCTGCAGGCTAGTACAATGCCTGTACATGTGGGTTGGCTGAACTTGAGATACGAGCATTGCCGAGGACTTGTTGTACCCTGATCACTCGGAAATTTCGCAGGGCACCATGCAATCGTGGAGCTTCTCTCTGCCTTGAGACGCAGAACCAGACGGCCAGACAAGACTTCAACACCCTTACAGGGCACCAAAGACATGCTCGTGAGAGTTTAAGCGTTCCGGCCGTGAACCTGAATTCCAGCTCGCCAGCTTCGGGCGATCCTTTTCCACAGCCTTTCTTCGAGTCCAGTTCTGCCGCACGCACTTGGCAGCAGCCTCCCGGCCGTAGAGCAGGAGGGGGCCAGCAGCCAGCACTCAGCACTCCTTATACACAAAACCCGGCCATGTTCGGCCTTGCGTCAAATGGCCACTGCCATACAGGCGATGTGGCAAAGGGCCGTGGCTGACACGCTGAAAGAAAAGAAGTGCTTAATCAACACTTTCAGGGCAGAGTGCTATGAAGGTCGGACCTGCCTGCTACTCCTCTTTGCCCCTGTTTACCCCTAAGCCCTAAGGCTCTAAGACACGAAACATGGTTGTCAGATCCATCCCAACTAGTAGTTCGGTCATATGGAATCAACTCTAGGTGAGACGCCTCTCTCACCAAGCTGCACTACAGCAACACTAGGCCCATGTTTCCCGGCTCAATTTTCGGGCACTTCCAGTTGTAGAGGTAATACTGCCTCGGCGACCAAGCGCTCACGAGAACCCAGGACGTGCAAATTTCCTGCTGTTGCATCTCAGGGCGCCTACTGGCCCCGTCTTCGAATCCCAAACACTAGCCCCGCATATGGGGTTTCCGAAAATTAGGGTACCTTATTTTGGGGTCGTTTTAATAAGGATCCTACTGTTTAAGTACTAGGTTAAGGTCCCCTATTTTCGGAAACTCCCATATTGACTGGCTAGGACCGACTTGAGGCTGCAGGCTTCAACCTCTCAGGACACAACCCAAAACACTAAAGACGTCAAAGAAAGAAACAGTTGAAAAAGCAAGAACCAAAGACCAGATGCCAAAACACGGAGCTTGGAAGGTCGAGGCCACGGGATCGCGATCGCAGGACGATCAGAGTTGGGGCGGTGACGATCGCGGTGCATATATGATACAGACACATGTGTGTAGCATGTATATACATATATATATATATAAGATATATAATATATAGATATGCAGATATAAAGATATATAAGTATATAGATGTATAGATGTATAGCTATATAGATATGTAGATTATTTTCCCTCTGGCCCTGCCACACATATTTATACATAAATGCCTGTGTATATATACATGTATATATTCATATCTCATCGTGGCAAGGTGCTCTGTTGATGCCTATTTCATGAGCATGGGTGTCGGTGGAGATGGTGGTCATGATTGCACTCACCCTCGCGCCCACATGGATGCTGGGTGAGGTGTCGGTAGATCACCGACCCAGACCAACACCCCAGGCCTCCCATACTGCTGATGGACAAAATCCTGCATGACCCTAAGGACTCCAAACTGTGGGAACTATGGTATATTCCTTATAAAGAGTAATGCAGGATTTTGTCCATCAACAGTATGCCTCCCATGGCCTCGGAATGCTCCTGCAGACGAGATGCAGATAGCCATCCCCGATGCCAAACTTGAGGTCCTGCAGGCGACAAGGCGTCTGAATGGGTTTTGGCTCGGCCTTAAACTTCGAGGGCCTAAGTCGTGAGGAGCAGGTACAACTTCTGGCATTTGGGGCTTGGGGCTTAGAAGTGTAGGGCTCTGTTCGAAGCCAAGAGAGTATGAAAATGGGAGTGGTCCCTCCCTCTTCGGTTCTAGCTACTTCCGCTGCCAGCGTCTTCCGAGTGCTCCACGACGCTACCGCCCGTAGACGGCTGAAAACCGCTCAGAGAAATTTCGCAGAACTTGCAGGCTGACTGAGCTGGGGCTGGAACATCCCAGAGTCAATCCAAAGCAGATGTATAAACTGATATCAACTCATGTTCTCACTGAGGGGCCTAAAGAAGTGCTCTACCGCCGCGTCAAGCCGTCGGCCTTGCCTTTCCACGCATACAGAAATGCTCACGCGCAGGGACCGGCACGGCTCCTTGAGAAAGCTTTCGTTCTCCATGACATCCAGCGCGTTGAACACGTCGAAGTCCTGGGGACTTTCTTGTGCCAAACTCCAAGCCTTAACCTGTGCAATATAGGGGCCTTAATAATTAGAATAAGCCCAGTATAATCCAAGCCTAAAGCTGTTTATGCTCTCCTTTTGCAGCCTGCTCTCCTGCTCTCTGGGAGAGGGGAAGGGGTTTCGGATTCGCATTGCTCCGCCGCTGCACCTGATATTCTCTTCGTCCTCTAACTTACGACTTCTGAGTTCTTCTCCATCTTAGACATATGTGCATTGATGCTGCTGTTGTGCGAATGCTGCACAAAACGCTTGGTCGGAATGCAAACTCTGCAAATTATGGCCTGTACTGCTTTCGCTCGGTTGAAATTTGCCACTGTTACTCTCAGAATAGTTTCGCCTTGCAGAAACATGTCATCCCATCATCGGCATCATCAGATAACCGACCATCCCACTGCCTCCATCACCAGCAGTGTCATTGTTATCCTCTTAGCTTCCATCTTGGGCTTTCGTTCACAAGCGCAACACCATCATCATCATCGTCATGGGAATCATCATCATCATCATCACCTAGTCAAGGCAGAAACATCGCGGCACTATCTTTGCAAGACACATCGTCGGCTTGAGCATTGTCATCCTGACCGTTGCGTTGAAAACCATCACCAACATGAGCAAAACTACCATCGTCGCCACCATCCTCATCACGGCATCACCACCCCCGTCCTCACCAATGGCAATAGACACACACATACACACGCACGCACCAGCGGCAGCACCGCCAGAAGCAACCCCACCATCGAAGGCCATCTTGGGCATCAGAAAGAACATCGTCATTATCTAGCGACAGCATTCTGCCTCATCTTAGCGATCATGAACGTGGGCATCATGCTACGCTTCATTACTTATCTTAAGCTGAGGTTTCCGCCTGCTGCTTGGCCAAGATAAGGGCGTCATACATCAAGTCCTCCACGCGAGAAAGGGCACAGGGTAGAGTCGAGGTTCCAAACTGCCCAATACGTTATGAAGCTGACGATGGCACTTCTTTTGGCCTTTAGCCATCGGACTTTGAGCGGTGCTGCGCCCACTGCGTCGGGACGTCAGGCCACAGTGCTAGTTGAAGCAATGCAAGAATTCAGTGTGGCAGCAACAATAGCCGTTTTAGGATCTGCCCGTGATCTGTCGGCACAATCAAAGTGCCCTGAAACTCCTGCAAGGGAACGGTAGTTGCCACGTTCCAGTATGAGTAAGCTGCCTTGAGGATAGTGTGCTTCTCATGGCCTGCCAGGCCAAGAAAATGAGCTGGGGGTTCAGGGCGGCTACATGAGATGCATGCCTGGAGTCACGTGGTATTTACCTGTTTTGTACCTGCCTTGGGGTGGTGTTGAGGATACCTAAACCCAAAGTCACTTCTATTCTGGGAGAGCAGCCACGTGCCTAGGATGGACGATGGCAGGTTGTAGAACGAGCACACATCGGTGACCTCGCCCTTCTCGTTCTCACCTGAGGCGGGGGCTCACATTGCAACAGACGTCAAAGGTCCAAGTAGCAGTCTTTGGGAAAATTGTGTATGAGGCTCTTCGAAAGACTCGCCCTAAGGTTATCGCAGCTTTCGCACAAACATCTCAGGAACGATTTCAGCTCGAAAACGACGTCTGTCGCGTTTTCTAAACCGCCCAATTTCGCGAAAGGACCCAAACTATGCCCCTTGCTCAACGCAACGTATGGATTATGACGTTCTATGCTCTGTGTCAAGACTCCAGGTTCGATTCCTGGATCAGGAAGGACAGGGGATGTTGTTTTCGTGGTGGAAGCACGATTTGAGCTCGTTAGGGGTTTGGGAATTGTAGGTTCGAAGGATTGTTACAGAGGCTAATCCGTTTAAACAGAGCGGTTTGGTGTCCAGGCCTAGCTGCCATCATTACGCAGGGTTTCATTCGAGAATACGAGCTGCCATGCGCTTCATGAATCCAAGGTGAGCAGCAACACCCATTGCTGTGTTATATACCAGGAGCAAGGGTAAGCTAAAGGAAAACATATGACATGATATAGCAGAAAATAATAATGTGCCTCCAGGCCCGAGGACTCCGCGGCTTAGAGTTCGAAGGATTCGAGCGGTGAAACAGATTAGGCAAGCCGCTACGTCAGAAACCTTCTAGGAGGCCAACAACGTGATTTGTAGACTGTTTGCAGACAAGTACATAAGTTACATAGGTGTAAACATATTAAGGTTATCAAGCGAAGAAGCAACTTGAGCAACGAAATAAGCGGAAGACAGCCCAAAAAGGTGCCGAGCTCCCCACGGACGTAACAGTAGACGACGCCTGGCCGTGGCAGCATCCAATGCTCAACCTGTGCAAGGCGAGCGCTACAAATCGCAAATCAGACCACTGCGCAAGAAAAGCTAGGTGCAGGTTCTAGAGTTCAAAGTTTAGCAACTTGAAGCCGTAGGCGCTCCCATGTAGGGACAACATTCGTAGCAAGCCTCTCTCCAGTCGAACCTCGAAACTACCACTGAGCAACCTCCGCCGGTGAGAGCTCTGGGTGAAGTTGAAACTTCCTCAGCGCAGGTTCCGAAGTACTGCATTGGTCTTAATTGGGTATATTGTTGCGGGTTCGGCATGGTTAGGGTTCCGTGCTTCGAGAACTAGAACCAGGGAAAGAGTAGCAATGCGAGAGTGACAACATTGATGACACTTGGCCTACGGGCATGCGGAACCGCCCCATTCCGACCTTTGTCGTGTCTGTGGAATCCTGTACACATCCATGCAGATGGGTTTTACTTAACTTAGTTGGGTGCCTGGAAGTGATGCTTAGTTGTATCCGCCATACCTTGGTGTAGGACAGTGCATCAGGTAGCCGAAAGATCATCTCTTCGTTGCAACTTTCCACGGCCGTGCTGCACAAATCTGCACAAGAAGCGCCATATCGTAAGGGCATCAGAACTACTCGCACCCTCAGTGCTCCGAATCGCTCGACTGCTGCAAGCTATGGCTTCGCTGACACCGCAACAGGTTTGTCAAGCTCTCATCTCGCCATCTGCAGCTGGAGCACTTCAAGTAGTTGGACACCAGACCATGGACTCGTGGCACGTCGTCCTTCTTCATCTCTCGCATGCCGGAAAGCTGGCAGCTTTCTGGCACCTGTCCGGTGCAAAAGTAAATCTGAGAAGGGGAATGCCACATCAGCAGTATCGTGCTGGATGCTAGAAAGAGCAGTTTGGCATATCGGCTGATCTGAGAGGTGCCTTGTACAGCTTGATGGTCCGGGCCATCGTCATGCGCGCACCAAGGTGGGAGAATCCAACCTCGATGAGCTTCTTCGGGTTCAAGGATCGATGGTGATATCCTTAGCCAACGAATTTCCGCTTCGACCAGAAACCATGCACTACACGTTTATGCACTTATACAACAATATACAAGATGCAGCATTGACATGCCAGCGAGGAATGCAAGCAAAGGCAAACCTTCAGGAAGATAGTTATTCTTCAGCGCGCGAGCTGCACTCTCGCAAGGCCTACCTGCGTAATGCTCACCCCTGTCCCTGAGTCGTGCAAGACCTCGCTCGGCCTTCAATTTGCGGGCCGTGTGCCCGAACGCCGGGCCAATGACACTACGCCGTCGACGGCGACTGCTGCAACTGCAGCTGCTACTGCTCCTGGTCCTGCTACTGCTACTGCTACTGCTACGACCACCACCACCACCACCACCACCACGACCACGACCACGACCACTACCACTACGACGACTACTACTCCTACTACTACTCCTGCTGCTAAGACTACGACTACGATACGACTCCTACTATACTACCACTACTACCACTACCACTACTACTATTACTACTACTACTACTACTACTACTACTACTGCTGCTACTACTGCTACGACTACGACTACCATATGACCACCACGACGACTACTGCTACTACTTGCACTACTACTACTACTACTACTACTACTGCTACTGCTACTGCTACTGCTACTACTACTACTACTACTACTACTGCCACTGCTCCTTCTGCTACTGCTGTTACTACGACTACTACTACTACTACTACTACTACTACTACTACTACTACTACTACTACTACCACTGCCACTGCTCCTTCTGCTACTGCTACTACTACTACTACTACTCCTCCTCCTTGCAAGGACTCGTGACAGAAGCAACCATATAGGGAAAACGAGAGGTTTAGAAGCCCAGGGTTGGCCTGAAACGCGAAGGCACAAGCCGCAACCTCTTGCTTATCCAAGAGTCGGCACTCACTGACCGGTCTTGGCAAAACCACGCCCGCGGTGTACACCGCTTGCCATACATTCTCGCGATTCACGCGGCGAGTTATCTCCTGCAACAGCCGCCATGACGCTGAAAGGTTAGACTGCCACATGCTGTTTCGATCGACAAATCTATTTAGCGCATAGGCTTCTTCCGCACCTTGATAAGAACCGGAGCCAACCTTTTGGAGCGCAACTTCTTGTGCACGCAGAGGAAGTTGATCTCTGCCATCTGGACCACTTTGTCGAAGACCTGTATAGGCCAGAAACGCATATAGTGCGCAAGAACCGACACTGAGACCCAAGGCTGTCGAAAAGTCCGCCGTCCTGAATGTTCGCAGGGATTCCAGTGATGAAGCCGACAAGCCTCGATGCATCGATTTTCGGGCGCCGTGTTGGGGGGGGAACAGATGGGACTCGCTGGTCGGCTTACATGCAGTGAAGTGACTTGCCACCACCTTTGACACGAACGCCCAAATGCCAGTTCCTGCAAGGACACTGCGCCACGGAAGACCCAGGATCCTTTACACCATGCCTGTCCTCAAGTACTCTGGTGGCTTCAAAGCCCATCGCAAGAAGTCCGTGGAGTAGTCAAAGCGAAACATGCTGTCCTCATGCGGGGCAGCAACGCGATCTGGCCTGGTCTAGTCCGTGTTTGCATGGCCAGGGCTGGCCCTTCCCGAGAGATGAAACCATCCAAAAGTCATCATCTTCCACGTAGTTCTCCGTCAAAAGGGTATACACCTCCAAGATCTCAGTCTCCGAATCCACATCGCCTGTTATTTCCAAGTGTTTCATCTCAGTGACAATTCAAAAACTCGGCGACTTCGACGTTGACGCACAGGCGCTTGAGAGGCTACATTTAGAGGAGTGGCAGGTGCACCACTCAAACTGGGCCGGCAGAGGATATGGCTCCTCAGCTTCAAGCTTTCGTGCAAGGAAGTCTTCGCGGAAATGAACAAGGGCGGAAGGAAGACCAGATTCGGGTTTAGAAGCAGTGGGAGAAGCAGTAGTCGCAAACAAGTAGAAGCAGCAGCTGCTGTTGTCGCTTTGGCAGCAGTCGTATCGTCGTCGTCGTGTTAGTAGCAAGCAGGGTGGCCGTAGTAGTCGTGGTCGTAGCGATGGTGCAGTAGAAGTAGCAGTAGCGATAGCAGAAGTAGTGGTAGCACTGGTGATGATAGTGATAGTGACACGGATAGGCAACTCTGCACGACAGCCTCAAGCTGGTTGAATACATCACGACCTGGAGGACATCATCACGGCCGGAATGCATGCCAAAGTGCAGCACGCACCTCATCGGGCGTCTTTGTGACATCAAGCGGCCCGGTATCCTGGTCATACCTGACTATGGAGAGACGCATGAGAGAGAGAGAGAGAGAGAGAGAGAGAGAGAGAGAGAGAGAGAGAGAGCGAGAGAGCGAGCGAGCGAGGGAGGGAGGGAGGGAGGGAGAGGGAGACTGACAGAGAGACAGAGAAACAGAGAGACAGAGAGACACAGAGACAGAGAGACAGAGAGACAGAGAGGCAGAGAGGCAGAGAGGCAGAGAGAGAGAGAGAGACAGAGATGCAGAGACAGAGAGACAGAGAGACAGAGACGGAGAGACAGAGACAGAGACAGAGACGGAGACGGAGACGGAGACAGAGAGAGACACAGAGACCGACACAGAGAGAGACACGGAGACAGACACACAGACAGACACAGAGACAGAGACAGAGACACAGAGACACAGAGACACAGAGACACAGAGACAGACACAGAGACAGACACAAAGACAGACACAGAGACAGACACAGAGACAGACAAGGAGACAGACAGGGAGACAGACACGGACAGACAGAGACAGAAACAGACAGACACAGCCAGAAACAGACAGAAACAGACAGACAGAAACAGACAGACAGACAGACAGACAGACACGAGCAAACTACTGACCCACGGAGAGACAGACAGACACGGACAGAACCGACAGAGACACAGACAGACACGGACAAAAACAGATGGACACAAGCAGCCACAGACCGACACAGAGAGACGGACAGAAACAGACACAGACAGACAGACAGACCGACGGACAGACGGAAAGACGGACAAGACGGGTTAAATAGGAGCCCGGAAAACTACACAAAAAGGACATCAGGTTGAACGAATGCTGAACGTCATCCAAATATGGCGACAGGTGACAGAAATAGAGTGCTCAAAACTGAACCAAGTAAGTGCCTGAAGTAGGGGGGTGTAAAACCTAAATAACATCATCTGGTAAGAATACGTCCACTCATATGCACGGTTGGCGGCAACCGCACAGAAACGCAGCTCCAACCGAGACAGCAACGAAAAGTGGCAGGCAAGCAAGCAAGCAAACTTGCAACGACTTGAAAGGAACCGACACACCCGATTACTGGGATCTTCACCTACAGAATGGTGAGAGCAGAGCTCGACACCAGCCAGCGGCTGGCACGATGCCCAGCTGGAACGGAGTGCTCTGTTGTTTCGAGGCATGAATGCCAATCCAACTGGCCATAGTGATGTAGATACAAAGCAGTGACACATTGGCGCTGAGAGATCTATGCTTCGAACGGCAAGGCACTCAGCGCTCATCGACGGAACCGGCTGGGTGTCCCAGAAAGCATGCTCTCGTGCGCTGGCTCGGCGAGATTCCTTCGGAGAGACTATCTTCTCTAAAGGGGTTTGCCCTCCAGTTTATGGCTTCCTGCTTTGGTATATACAGCCAGCCGACAGACGAAGTGAGATGAGACAGTGAAAGCCTTCTGTGATACCAAAAACTAATAACTACTGTACTGACTGCGTGAGCTCGATCATCATCGTGCTTCAGATGGCATTGCAACACTTGCAAAACGCTTTACACAAGTTCCAAAACAAGACGACTTGCCTTTTCTCACGCTTCGTTTACGGCTGACTGAGCATCAAGACTTTATCAAGACTCTGATCGTAAGTCTCATCATCGCTAGAAAATGCTAGAGACAAAGTTGTAGGACACGATTTTCTTCCCGTCATCTGGTATCAAGTCTCCTCGAATCTACATCTTCCGCCTGAAACATCGCAAGATGCCACGGAATTGCAGCAAAAGGTCTATTCCCTCTCACAATTATGGCTCTCAGAGCACACATCCTATTTATGCCAGGTCGTTGCAGGAAGTCTCTTTTCTTCCAAGGACAGGATGGCTGTTCCATTGTTTCCGTTTGGACGATGCTCATATGTAAAGGCGCGATAAGGATAAGGAATAGGGCTAAGCCTCTTCCTTCGTACTATACTCATGCAGAAGGCACTCTTTCGTGAAGTTTTCGCCGTTGAAATATTATGTGGTCCCTCTGTTATGTGGATTCCTTGGTCGGAATAGAAAGTCGAGAAACTGACAAGCTGCGACAGATGCAAAAAACCTGCCAACTTGGCTCTGGAAGCTTTTGGTTTCCTGAAGGTATGAGAACCTATCAATAAGCCTCCGGCGCACGCCTCGCAGGGACCTCGCTTCCGCAGCATTTGCAGCAGCTGGGTCTGAGAGTCGGTGGTCTGCGTCTCCCCCTCCTGCGAAAGGACGACGACTGCCACACTGATCATCACTGTCGACGCCAAAGCAACAACATCAACGATAAAACTGTACATCCTCATCACCGCTATCATCGCCAAACTTACCCCAACCATGAACTTCAACAGCATCCGACATCATCCTTACCGCCTGTGGTCGTCAACATCACCATCAGTCAGAACTTCGTGTTTTGCAAAGAAGGACCACGGGCTTACATGATATGTTTCTTTGTTGCTGCTTTTCGTTTGTGTGAGCTTTTTATTCACTTCTACGTGATATAGTTTTACACTGTTTACAATTGTATACATACATACATACATAATCATACCTACATAGACGCATTCACAACATCACGTCAGTCAACATGGCCACGTTCACAGATCCTTGGGCCAAGACTGAACCACTACTGAACCCTTGCGCCTCCCTCGGCACGTCCTCGCCATCGTTTGTCTCGGTGCTCGGGTAACCTCCGTCCTTCTTGCCGGCCTTCTTCCTCAGCTTGCTGCACCATGGTTTAAAAGCAAACATTGCGACATCTCCCTCCACCCTCCTCCACCACGAGTCCAAATTCCATGAGCCCCTGCTGACGGCAGCCAAGAGTCTTCTTCTTTTTCTTCCCATCGCCGGCCTGGGCCACTTCGGACTAGTCTGGGTTGGATCTCGGGTGTACGGCGGCTGGACCGAGGCCTCGGTGCTGCCTCCTTCTCCTTCGACTTCTTCCTCCTCGGCTTCCAGCTCCTGCCACTGGGCCGATCGAAGGCAGAAATTGTGGCGAGCCGATCCATCAACAACATTTAACAGCGAAGCACCGGCATCCTTGCTCGCGCTTTTGTCGCTGTCAGCCATCGCTTTGAACTGGTGAGTGAAATTCGGAACGGATGCTGTCTGTGGCTGATAACTGGGTCGGATTTGCCATAGATGTCATCCAGCTTAGTGTCAGCTTATTCGTTCAACAATTCACTTGGTGTCGTGAAGTTCCGGCTGAGCACACGGAGCAAACAAGGCATCATTCTGAAGCACTGCATCAAAACTGCAAAAAACTGCTCCAGATGCTTCAACATGCTGGATCTCATCGCGGCGGCCGCATCGATGCATGAATGCGTTCCGTGGATCCTTGCAGCTCGCACCGAAGCAGCAAACATGCCACGAACTGCCGTGATTCGAGGAAGAGTAATGCAAGCACCTTTGCGGCGAGAACCCCAAATCGAAAGGTGGCGTTGAAGTTTAAGCTTGGATTGGACATGCTGGTACTCCGGGTGCATGGGAGCACAGCCAAACTGTTCGCGGAAGTTCCGACCCAATAACGTGACCAAACTTCGGGACCGAATGCAAGCGCACGGCCTTCTATCGAAATTTGAATGTGGTCTGGCCGTTGGCCGAAAGATTGCTGCATGCTTTGCAACAATGCCACAAGAAGGGCTTCTGCTGGGTTGTTGCAAAATGTAGCAGATAAACCTTTGATCATGCTTTTCTTTCGATCTATCTCTGTCCAAGTTTTGTTGCATAACGCCTGCTCATTTGAAGAGCATGGTTTTTATTGGTGCCCCTTCCTGTATACACGGTTTTGAAGCGAGGCCACGATGCTAATCGAAGGTTGCTTCGAGCACGTCGCTCGTTGTCCGGCAGTCCAAATGCATACAAATGATTTTGGATAACTTCCCGATTTTGTTTTTTTTCCCCGCACCTTTTGGACGACTGCAAAACGTCCGGGTCCCTGTGCTACCTGCGCACTACGGGCGGAGGAAGCTTGGGGAAGGGGGGACTGCGCGCCTTCACCCCCAGCGCGCATCAGCAAGGACCTCATGCAAGGCAGGCACGGGCCCTTCGCCGAGCTCGGCGGCAGGCAAAAGTTCGAGGAGCGTGGCTGCGTAGGCGCGCTGGGCAGCACAGCCAAGAGTCCGGACCAGCGAGCGACCCAGGAGGCGACTGCGGCGGACCGCAGGTGGGCCGGCACCGAAGCTGCCCGATGGCCAGCCAGGAGGCGCAGGAATTGTACTGCTTCGGTACCAAACCTGCCGCCAACTTCGACGCCGACGACGACGAGCCGACAGCTGCGCGCTCGGTCCAACTCGGGGTAGGTTTGGGTGCGCTTGCGGCGCGCGGCGGCGGCGACCGCGCAGCCCGGCTGGACGTCGGCGCGCGGGTGGGCCTCGCCGCGTCTGGTGAGGGGGGAGACGATGGTCGCATCGACGGCGAGCTGAGAGCCATGCCAAAGGGGCAAGCCGTTCGCCACAACTTCGCTGCGCCGCTCGTCAGAGACAGGAACATCAAGGTTCATGTCTGCGAGCCGCACGTGGCGTGCGACCCGCGCGCCAGCTTCACGGCAGACGCGCGCGACGGCATGCTCCAAGGGCAATGCGCGGGTGGCGAGCACGTGCGACGTCGCACAGGCGGTGCGGTGGTCGCCGAGCGGGTGCATGCAGGAGTCTAGCCCGCGAGCTCGTCTCGAGCAGCAGTCTCAGTTCATATCTACGTATCTGTGAGTTTGCGGTTCGGGTTTGATGAGCAATGTGTGCCCAACAGGCACTGATATGAATGGATAGTACGGAGGCTAAGCGAGATTTTGAACAGGTGTCATGGAGGTCTTCTCAAGGCTGCGACAGGCTGCTTGGCACCTCTACTCCCTGCTCGTCACCTGATCGGGAATGTACGTATCCTGCTGGTCATCTGATGACTCGAGCACACCGTGGCAGCGGCATCTGCGCGGTGCGAGCGGGAGGGGGAGGCGCAAGCGCCGCAGCAAGAGGACACGGAACTGCGCACTGGGGATGGCGACGTCATCGCGGGTGGGCAGAACGTTGAGGGCGCGGGAGGCGAATTGCCCTGCCTGCGAGAGCAGCAGCGCACGAGACGCAGGAGTGAGGTCAGCAAGATGCGTCTCGTACGCGCGCTCATCGCACGCACGGGCAGCGACGCGCTGCCATCCCCGGAACGGCCAGGGGTCGTCAGCACGGTCAGGGGCCGGGGGGACGGCGACGGCGCCGGAGCAGAGGGCGGCCCATTCTGGCGCCTCGTAACCAACATGGCGCAGCTGTGTCTGGGCATGGATTGCTGCGGCGGCCGAGGGCAAGGCCCCGTCGCCTTGCAGGGCAGCGTGGAGACGGGCGGCCGCAGCAGGCGCCCTGGCTTGGATGACGGGCGACACTGCATCGATGCCTAGCTTCTGTATAGCGAAATTCCATTCGTCTTGGTTGAACAGGCGCGCGGCTCGAACGCGGGACGATTGACAGCTTGCAAGCCAAATGCCCGCTAGCCCTGACAGACATCCTCACATTCACATGCCGAGTTGTCTCGAGGCAAGCCCCGTTGAGACCGCATGCCGCATTGCTATAGCAAATGAAAAAAGGGGCGTGTCTGGAGACGACCGTGGGGCACAGTCAGAAAACAACTACTACAAGCTTGTGGGTTTGTTACAACACACCACCAAAAAAACAAAAACAACCAAAGAACCAAACCAACACCAAACAAAAACAATTTCAGGAACCATGCAAACAAATGCGTCAGTGGCATGTAAAAGCTTGTGCATTCAGCCACACTCAGCAAACAGAAATTCACATCTCACAAGCTTCGGCTGCCAAGCAAACGATGAAGTGCCGCGTTGGCATCTTCATGTGATAAGAACAACACATGCAAAGATACTGCATGTCGGGACCGGTTGGGCCCATCTTTGTCGCAAGTACTTGTGCGCAGGGCATTCTCGAGAGAGTCAACACTACAGGCACATAATCGGCAGCGACTGGTCAATGCAGTCTTCGGTACACGATGTCTGGCTGCACGGCCACCAGCAAGTTATAGCACATGGGTGATAGCCGCAGCGTGACAACCCCTAGCATCGTGCACGACACGTTGCGACAGAGGGTCCGTACAGCACATGAAGCACCAGCACCAGCACCAGCAGCACCAGCAGCACCAGCAGCACCAGCAGCACCAGCAGCACCAGCACCAGCACCAGCACCAGCACCAGCACCAGCACCAGCACCAGCACCAGCAGCACCAGCAGCACCAGCAGCACCAGCAGCACCAGCAGCACCAGCAGCACCAGCAGCACCAGCAGCACCAGCAGCACCAGCACCAGCAGCAGCAGCAGCACCAGAAAACGCGGCCCGGGCTGCCAAGTGGCATACTGCTGGAACGAACTGCATTCCTTTTCTCACCCGGAAAAGCATTCTTGCGCGGGGGTCGTGCGGTCCATCGTGATGGGCGTGTCCCGTACTTAGCACAGCGGGGGGCGGCTCGGGCCAGCTGGCTCAGCGAGCACCAGCACATGGTCCAATGCGGGCTCACCCTGCGGCGCCTCTGGCAACCGGCCACGGTGGTTTTGTGCTTCTGCATCCCGCCAACGGCGTGCTGCACCGCGGCCGACAGCATGCCCCACCGGCCCCACCACCTGCCCGTCTCGGCCATTTGCAAGGCGACGCCGGGAGTATCGTCCGCTCGCGGGTGAGGGGCGCTCGCTCCGGTGATGGAGCTAACCAGCGTGGCATCGCAACCTATCGCAACAGAGGGCGAGGGCTTAGGGCGAGGCGCCGTAAACCACGAGGTCGACGTCCGGAACTCCCGGCGCCGACGTGCGACAGCCACTATACTGGTAGACAACGTGTCCCTCCGCTCCCACCGCCTCGCGGGCCAGGCTTGTTCGACCGGATTCGCTCGGGTTGCCAAGAGTCCACTGCGTGTGCAGGCGAGGGCGTGGCCGCCCCAGGGGTCTAGCCGTCTTCGGCATCCAATGCATCCATGCCCATGTTGGCCGCAGATGCCGGGCCCGGTGGCAGAGGCAAATGGAAGCCTCTGCGAAGAGCGATTTGCATGACCTCTGGCGGCAGCGAGGTGGACCTGTCCGTGGGTATGGCTGTGAGCAACGCGGCGGCTTGTGGGCCTGACAGGGGCCTGACTGGGGCAGCAACCGTGCCTGGTGAGCCGGCCCCAGGGTAGGCAGTAGCACTCGATCGCGAAA